CTCCGAATAGGGTTTTATAGTGCTCTTGATTTTATTTTATTTTTTTGGCCTGTTTGGTTTTTTGACGTTTGTATTATGACCCTGCATAGTTTGTTCGCAAAAGTTTCAACAACATTGCTTGTAGCGATGCGGCGAAAAACCCCAAATTTTTTGCCTTCCATTAACCGCTAGTGCAGAGCATTGGTTTTAGGACTCATCCTCGGAGAACAAAAAAAGAGAAAGTTGTGCTTCAGGCTTTCAGCCAATAGGGTGCCGCCACGATCCTAATTCTCGGTTGTAACGTCTCTCTACGTGCATGCCCTCTCCTCTCCATGAAACGCAGATCCTCGGGCCCCAAAGGACCTCGCAAGGTCCTTTGGAGCCGAGGACGATTTGGCTGGGAAATCCTCGGAGCCCAAGGATTTGTCCTCGGAGTGTTTTCACATTTTCATTTCCGATGTCATCTCCGTGGACAGGTGGAACGAAGACAAAATCCTTGGAATCACGTCCCCGAGGAGTGTCTAACAACGCCCTTAAAGTGGGACACAGATAGTGTTGTTTAAACCACTAGCACTTCCTAAAGTCGTGCCCATTAGCAAGCCATGATTTTAGGAAATGTACGGGCCACTACAGGAGAGACCAAATTCATCCGACTAGAAACATTTCTACTCTATATTTTCCTGCGGCCAATAGCTGGGCCAAGTACTGGTGGCGTAAAGAAAAAAAAGGCCAACTGAGTAGATTCTTCGTTATCTTCAGCTTGATCTTTCGGGTTTGTCTAATTGGAACCTGTTGCTCTGTGAGCAGGACCCCTATAACCCTGTTCATTGGTTCAGAACTTGGAGAGCTGTCACCTGGAGAAGAGGTCCATGGGGGAGGAGAAAGGCTGTTGGGGCAGTTACCTGGCCTCTGGCGGTGGATCACCTATATGATCAGACTATTCAGTAGCATCTGGCAAGAGGAGAGAGTGAGAGTCAGCAGGAGCGAGTGATAGGCTAGACTAGGGAAGTAGCCTGGGCGGTCACATCATAGCTTAGGGCTATTGCTCTGTAGTTGTATTCATTGGTGGAAGCGTTCCGTGTGTTCTCTTTTTTTTTTTCCTTTTTTTTTCTTTTTTTTTTTGGGACAAATGCTCCAGGCGTTCCGTGTGTTCTCAGCCTCATCAATTATGCTTCCAGTTTGGTCTACTCATGCATGGTCTTCCATGAGTCTTTGCTTGCTGCTCGAAAGTTTCGTGCAGAAAAGCCCTTAGTCAGTGATTACGACCAGAGATGCCATTAGTAAGCTATCTATCCATCGTTGTTGGTTCCCTCCCCCTCCCCTCAATCTATCTCATCAGAGAGTACAGACAATACCAGTGTCCTGGATGTATCCTGGCCACAGTGGCAAAATCCTCCATGGAGGTATCTCACTGAGTCACCGCAATTACAGGTAGAGCTGAGTCGAAAAAGTCCCTAGTGTGAGTATGGGGCTCGTTAGACACTCCTCGGGGACGCGATTCCAAGGATTTTGTCTTTGTTCCACCTGTCCCCAGAGATTAAATCGGAAATGAAAATGTGAAAACACTCCGAGGATAAATCCTTGGGCTTCCCCTGTATCCCAGGTTAATCAATGCTGGCAGGAACCTCCCACAATCCTGTTTGACATACTCCAAATTCAGTTTTGTATATGGGACGCTGGACCCATTTTCCAGCAGGTGATGCTCCCCACCAATAGATGGAGCCTCTCCCCAGCTGCTAGTGATGTCTGCTATTAGCAGCACCACTAACACTGGCAGGGGCGTTCAGAAAAAAAAAAAAAAAAAGATAAATCCTTGGGCTCCAAGGATTTCCCACCCAAACCATTTCACGGAGAGGAGAGGGCACACACGTAGAGAGACGTTACAACGGTTGAATCCGGATCCTGGCGGCACCCTATCAGCTGAAAACCTCAAGCATACCTTTCTCGGCCCTTTGGCTAAGATCAAGTGTAGTATCTGTTCTTATCAGTTTAGGGTCTCGTTAGACACTCCTAAAAGAATCCTAAAAGATTTAGGACAAGTCCTAAAGGTTTTTTACGATATCGCGCGGCGTAGTTACATGCAGTCCTAAAAATAATCTTTTAGGAATCGTCCTAAAAGGTTTCCTGCGGCCCGTTTTCATATACGTATAGGCAGCCGCGTCGCCGATGTCCGTCCAGTCCTGGCTGGTGTCCGTGGTCCACACTGCGGTGGCCCTTGGGCGGGTGCCGACAGGTTGGTGAAGCGCGCGTTTGCCGAGACCTTCGAAATTTCAAATTCGAATTTGGCGGACACAGGCTGGCGGGGTGGAGGACGGCCAGGCGACGCGTGTGACGTACAAGAGACAGCGGTGGCGACCCCTTCGCTGTGGGCAACCAGCTTTGCTGTACGCGGGAGTTGTGAGGCGCGTGGCGCATCTTCCTGCTCGGTGCATCTTCCTGCTCGGCACATCTTCACCTACGAACGTGCCGTCGCCTTGCTGGGGACTCCTCCGTTGCCCACACCCGAGCCAACGATCCGCAACGGCCGCCCGCCTGGCCACGCTTCGCCCCGCGCGCTCCACCCCACTGGCCAACGGCTACCGGTGGGGGCCGTTGCCGTCGTCGACCGGCAGAAAACCTCCAATGTCCGCCCACCGACCCGACGGACCTCTCTTGGACCAGCGCCTCCGTGTCGACGGTGCCATTCTCGCGACGCGACGACTCCGTGAAATGCGGGAATCCTAAATTTTTCAGTAGATCGGGCTACTTGAAAATTTAGGACGATTTGGCTGGGGAATCCTAAATCTTTTAGGACGAGTCCTAACGCCGTTTTCACATTTTCGATTCCCGCGTCCGATTTAGGATTGCGTGCAACCAAGACGCAATCCTAAAAACAGGAACTTTTAGGAGTGCCTAACGAGACCCTTAATATCTGATCCATGGTCCATCGGACCACATACAAAAAAAAAAAATCCTTTTTCCCGGAAAAGCTCCAAGGAATCTCTGAGCCGACGCTCCAAGGATGAGTTGAACTATAACGCCAAAAACTCTAAATTTTTCCCAAGGATTTCGTCCTTGGGCCCAAGGACGCTCCGAGGAGTGTCTAACGAGCCCCTATGTCTTCAACCACTTTCCCCCCCCTTCATTCTAAAACCCAGGGCATACTCACACTAAGCCGTTTCTATGGGCCTCGCTGCACTACTCTCAAAATGTGCAAAACGAGAGTGAATCCTCCACTAGAATATGGAAAGATACACCGCCATGATTTTTGTCTGTTGTGCATGTCTCGAGTAATGCAGTGAGGCCCTATATCTATTTGACTGCAGTAGCAGCCAGACCTGGATGAATCTGGCAGTGATCATGTCCAGAGCTTAGTGGGAAACGTTCAAGTGTGAGTATGCCCTAAGCTATTTGCTTCTCTCAAATTCACTTCTGTTTTTTGTAGGGTTGACATTGTGTTCAGGCAACAAAAACAAGAAATAAGTTCCCTTTCCAGGTAAAATATTGAGGTTCTTCGGTCCACCACCTCTCGTCAGTGGACCTTCAATTGGGCCCCTCCAGTCCACGCAATAACTACCCTCTCTCTCTCTCTCTCTCTCTGACACACACACACACACACACATGGAAAATAGGAAATCTATGTGAGAGCTCCTTGGGCCCCAAATCTTTGATCGGGCGATACGGGTGGTACGTTTTTCTCTTTTTCTATTTTTTGGGTTTGGGGGGGGGGGAAGGAGGTGGGCGCACTTCTGTGGGTCGAGGACCTCGGCGACCTGGCAGTACCTTCATACTGGTGATCTTGCACAATGATTCTCCGCCCGGGAAACACAAAAAAAGAGGGTGGATCTGGTGTCAGCTCCGTAGGTTGAAAAGACAGCAAGAGTGGAATGGTGCAATTCGAATTGAATTTGACTACTCATAGTCATGTTGATGTTCATGGCTAACTGATGTCCATGGCTAGGTGCAATAAGCTAAAGGGGCGAGGCTCCAACTGTGTTACAGTCTGGAGGCCTATCGACCATCATTGAGACTTTGATATTCCTATTTCAGTACACTCTACTGAGTCACGGACAGGCCAGTTGAAATAAAACAGGAAAAAGAAAGACGGACAGCTGCCAGAGGGTAGCCAGACGGAACTGGCCTGGGGCAGGGTACCATATGCACAGACTAAGAGATTCTGGTCCTTGATCTCTGTTATCTACGGCCAAGATCTGCAAATTTGTGCAATTGGGCCCTACTTCAGGAGGTTTTCTGGTTTCGAGTGTCCAGGGCTTTCCGCCATCTCATCTGAAAATCTCACGGCCAGAGTGTGACCACGTTGAAAAATGCTTCAAACCAGAACTAAGCATCTCCAAGTGGGACACGGCCTCGAGGCATTCGTTGATTATGTCTTCTCACTGAGTTCCTGCATGGTTGCTCACTTCTTGTTCTTTGCTTTTTTGTTTGTTTTGGATGTTTTTCTCCCAGGAATATGATCGCCCACCCTTTTGTTTTCGAAAGAGTTTGTTTTCTTGGTGGAACGAACCACAAATGGTCGTCGCGGCACTACTCACCGAATGTACAAGATAAGAATGAATCTTCCGCTAGAACATAAAAAGATGTAACCCCGCCATTTTTGTCTTTTCTGCATTTGGTGAGTAGTGCGGTGACGCCCAATATATAGTGATGAGACAGTTGTGATTCTCCAAGCCTTGCCGATCTTCAAACTTCAGTCACCGCCATTACATCCACGGCTTTTATTTTTTGCTGTTATCCTTTTTTTTTTTTAACGATTGTTTGCTAGAAGGGGACACAAAAGGGGCAGGTCCCACTTACCACCCTCTATTTCTGGCCATTGATCTTCTAATCAACAGGTGGAAAACGAAGAGTGGCAGCTTTGCCCGCAGTATGAAGCGGAAGCGGATTGATCTGCGACCTCCGTCTTTCTAGCAGCACGACTGTTAGTCATCATGGATGTATATGAGCTTCCCTCCTGGCTGGATGCGGTCGTAAATGACCACGTGCGGTGTTGGGGTGAAGAAGGTACTGGTTCAGAGCAGAGCCGCAAGAAAAGGCACGATACAGGTTTCCCAGACTTTTCACAGAAGATTAGCCCTGGCAGGTAGGAATGATTCATACAGACCACAGTCAACCACCCGATCATCAAAAACAATGTACGTCGATGTGACCCGATGCAGATGCATGTTGATCTGACGCGATCCAGATGTGGTCTGCCATCACTAAGAATCCTCGTTCTCCTCCTCCTCCTCCTCCTTATCATCATCATCATCGTGAACGGCTTCTTCTTCTTCTGTTCTCCTTCTTATAGGACGTCCGCCATGCGACCATCAGAGGCAAGAGATGATGATTATGATGATGATGATGAAGCGATGGTGGATGATGATGATGATGGTGAAGCGATGGTGGATGATGATGATGATGGTGAAGCGATGGTGGATGAGGATGATCATGATGAAACGATGGTGGATGATGATGATGATGATGATGGTGAAACAATGGTGGGTGAGGTGGATTGTGCCTGATTAAATGACATTATTGATTGAATGAACAATCATTGATTGAGTGATTCGTGATTGGTTCAAGTGATTTATTAATTATGGATTGCATGATCAAACCGTTGATTCAGTGATTCTTGATTGGCTCAAGTGATTGATTAATGGAAGGACTGATCGAGTAGGCCGGGGCTTACTGAATGAAAGTAGTACTTCGTAGGAAGTACCTGGCCAAAAATACAGCCAAATTGAGACCAAAACTCCTAATGCAACTGCGTCTGCGAGTGACTGGGTCACGGGTGCAATGGGCCAGTAACTGACTACAAAAACCACCAGGTTCAATCCAGAAAATCCTAGTGCGAGTAACCCCTGGCTGAGGAAGTAACAGGGCACTCATGTACTTGTTGACTCGATTGATTTGCTACATTGACTGGCATACAGATTTTGTCTTTTGAAGTTTTGATTCAATTGATTGATTGGTTTGATTTTGTTATCGGTTGGTGATTTGATTTTCATTCGATCGATTCGAGCAATTTGAATGACTATTTCAATCCCTCCGCTGCTGATTTCCACACCACAAAGCTGAAGGCAATGCAAGATTGGATTAGATTGGATTGGATCTAATCTCTTAGAATTGAGGCGTCAACATGATTCTATCTAATCTGATCCAATCCAACCCAATCCAATCCAATCCAAAGGCAAACTTGATTGGCGATTCGCTATTGAACCAACGCGAGCCAACCGGATCGCTTACTATAGATTACCAGAGTTAATCGGATGGCTACTGGACTGATTGAGCGAATCTATGGGTACTGTACTACCTGAGCATGACTATTAGGGTCACCTCAGCCGATCACATTCGCTACTATACTACCTGAGCATGGCTATTTGAGGTTCTTCGGCCAATCGGCTGGTTATTGCACTACGGTGCCACTACCTCAGCCATCGGACTCCTTGAGCAAATCACATGGCTAGTGGGCTAACTGAATGGCATCGGAATGCCTGTGTATGGCATTTGGCGACTATCTGAGCACTTTCACTTAAATTTACATTAAACTAGAGCAGATAAGCCCGTAGCCACCACCATCTCAACCGATTACTTGAATCCAACACATGCTCTCACTGATCACTCAAATATCTACCTCATCGAATGGTTTCAATCGAATGCAGTCGGATACAATCGACTCCAATCAAAATCCAATCTACTCCAATCGAATCTAATCCAATCTTTTTATTTTTTTAACAACCCTTTTTGATACGAGCACACATTGCTAGCACCCTAAGGGAGACTCCATCTATTGGTGGGGAGTGTCACCTGCGGGGATTGATTGATTGATTGATTGATTGATTGATTGATTGGTGGGGGAGGGGTCCTCCCTCCCCTCCTGTCGGCACACGTACACACACACATACAAACACACAAACACGCGTGCGCCCACACACACACACGCACGCACCCCCCCCCCACACACACACGCGCGCACGCAAACACACACACAGGGGGGGGGGGGATTTGGTGTGTGAAAAAAAAATAGAAAAAAATATATATCGATTGATTGATTGATTGATTGATTGATTGATTGATTGGTGGGGGAGGGGTCCTCCCTCCCCTCCCGTCGGCACACATACACACACACATACAAACACACACACGCAAGCGCCCACACACA